ACTTCCCAATCTCGGCGCGATTGTGTTGTCTTGAGAGAAATCGTTCATCTCCTGGTTTCTTTGGCAAGATAAAAAGCGTTAAAAAAAACCAGCCTGCGCTGTGCTGATGTCCCGGCAGCAGCAGACACCTGATTAGGTTACATTTCTGCCCTGGTGACTAAGAGACATGAGCCTCGAGCTGGCAACCATGGCAGCAGGGATTTCTGCCAGAGATGCACGCCAGTAATAGCTGAAGAGCTCATGCAACTGCAGCCTGAAGCACAGATCATATTCCAGGCCCTGGGGGGGAGGAGTGGGGGGGACCAATTGACGGCCCGGCTATGAAATTATGTAAACAATAAGCTCCGATCACAACTACCCATTGTCACATTGGTCCCAAAACAAAAAAAAAAAAAAAAAAAAAAACAAGAAGAATGTTTAAATCATTTAACAAGGAGAACCAAAAATCGCTAATAGTAGAAGAACAGTAAGGGAGGGCATGTCGACAAAGTTAAAACTGGTCCAGTTGTGAGAGATCCAACATTGGACAGTTTAAAAAAGACACTTGGTGCAGAAATAGCAGTTATTCATTTCCAAAAGGTCCAAACATAACCCACAGGACCCATCTTTCACCACAGGGATCTTTTTTATCACATCTACCCTGGTGTTATCTGCTGGAGCTCCAGGGTCTAGCCGATACATACGATGGGATTACAGACGCACTCCTGGAGTGTTCTTAAAAACAGCGGCCAGCATAAGTTTTCCTCCATCATTGCTATGACAACTTAACAGGTACCTTCATGCTCCAGACTTCCCAGCAGGATCAACTTTTTGTGTTTTTACCCTAGATAGAGGGGGGGGGGGGGGGGGCACGGACAGGACCACATATGGAGATGGCTTCAGGGCCCCGGTTGCTCAGACAGACTTTTTCCTCCTCCTACACGAAGTTTAATTTTAGACCAAAGAACAAACCTATTGCCTACCCTTGAGTCACGCAGAGTATTTAAAACCAATCAATTAGCAAAAGCAGCAATAGTCCTTGGTGGTTCTGGCAGACAAACCACTGGCTTACATATATTATGTGATGCAATACACGTTGGGTGATGCATGCTTACCGGAACTTAGTGGGCGATGGAGAAAAAAAAAAAACGGAAAGAAGATGTTCCAAAAAGATCATGCATGCAGCCAACAATGACCAGCCTCCAAAAGATACACTTCACAACAGAAACATTCAAAGATAATGGTTTCATGCTTCAGTGCTTATGAGCTGTATTTTTTGCATGAGATTTTAAAATTTTACCTGGGGGCTGTGCGCGAGCCAGCTGCTCAAAGCCAACGTTGATAACAGCGCTGACGGTTAACTTAGTAACCGCAAGGGGTGTTTAATACCATAGAAGCTACTCTGTCACAAGAAAAAAAACAGAAGAGCAACTAGTTTAGTTTAGTTTAGTAGTTTTTTTTAACTGTGCAACGGTTTGGTTCCAGGAAAAGGATGATACCAAATGTTCTGCGGATTGACTTACACGCAAACATTATCAGCCCAATAAACAAACCTATGGCCATTACATTCAGCTGCCAATTTGGGAGCTGATGCCTAGTTACAAACCTGGCAACCACCTCTAAAACATGCTCCGAGATGCAGAAGAACAAGGAATGAGTTCCAGGTGACCGACTACGAGATGCACAGATAAACAAGCAGAGCAGACATCAATTCCACACCAGTTTATTGCAGCATATCATGTTCATTTCAGAACAACTCTGGAACAAGCGTCAAGGGATGCAATTCAAACTGATTTTTCTCTGTGCAGCTTAAATTCTGTCTCCTACACACCAGCTTGCATCCACATGATTAAAAAGAAGGGAAAAAAGCCTTGTCGTCACAATTTTTGCCCAAGATAGGAACACTGATCACAGACTTAACGTTTCCTTTCAACCAGCCTCTTACAGATCACACGCTCGGCACTTGTTGGTCGTACCGCCACAGAGCGGCCTGGCTGAGCACAGGCAGCAAACGGTGGGCTCCCTCTTAGGCTTGGTCACTTATTATTACCCCCTCTCTGTGGTCACTGTTGACAGCAAAGGCCGGTTTCCACGCAGAACACAGGGGCCGAAATCAGCCATGTGCTGCTGATAAGTAGCCCCTTTCTGTCGGACGAGATGGGGCTGGAAGGGCCTTTACGAGCCAGCTGCACACCGCCGTCGAAACTCGCTCGGACTTTGGGAATTAGTCAATTGCTTGCGTTAGTATCTTCATGTTTAAACTTCTCAGCGGCAAGGAGCTGTGACAGTAAATCACACACTGGTCTTAACATATTCAACCTATACAAAAGCAGTGCTGCTTCTTGCAAACTTCGGCGTCATTGGATGAAGATTCACACGGCATCTACTTCCCTCCCCCTCATTTCAGCACCAAATAACTGAACAGCTACTCAGGAAAGATTAGAATTGTTGATCGGTCTGCTTCAAGAAGATTTCAAACCACCATAAGCATTATGGACACATTCTACAAAAAGGTCAGCGCGGTAGCTCGTATGACCAAAAAAAAAACCTTGGTTGCTGCTTTTACGTCAGGTAAGCCAGATGGAGTTTGGTCAATCTAATAAATTATTTAGACCGTTGCCGGTGGTAGAGCCGAATTCTGAGCAGCAGCTGATGGTGACGGTTAACGGTGAGGTTGAAGAAAATGACATTTTCACAGGAGATGAAACAGAAGCACAACTGATCGGTAGAGAAGAACATTGGCTCATTAGGCAAGAGCTGCCACTTTTAAAGGACATATTTTACCATGGGGCAGTTTTAAGGGGATGGGATGACATTCTACTGCTGCCGCAATCTACTCTGCACCTTTATTAAACTATAGACCCAAGGAGAAAAATCAATTTCATAAGCCCCAAACCATTCCCACGAGAAATTCTGTCCAAACACCCAAACGGACCCCAGCGCGGTGTTGGACACACCTGCAGGATGGGCAGCAAACCAGCCAGAAGAGAGCTCTCCTTCCAGAGGCATTGCCCATACATTGGAGCCGCCAGCAGCCTATAAGGTCATGTGTCTTCTTCTGACAAGCCAAGGTCTACGCAGCCAGAGGGTGTGGGTGTGTGTGTGTGTGTGTGTGTGTGTGTGTGTGTGTGTGTGTGACCGGCCGATGGGAGGGTTTGGGCGACGATATACCTTTGCCCATTAAACTGCCAAAGAAAACTCCCTCACACATCAAACATCGCAACAACATCTGCGGCTTCATCCCCCAGTGGCCCCAGTCTCACATGACCCGTCCCGGGCCCACAAGGGGCATCCCCACCCCGCCCCCCCGGGCCGGGCCGAAACCCAACGCCTCCTGGGGATTGGACTTTATTGATCCTTGAGCACAAACTCGGCACATAAACAACGGAGCACACTACTCAATATCCCTGCCAAATAGGCAGAGGGCACGTCTTAAAATACCATGACATTGGCCTCAGTAACAACATCAGATGACGCATGTGATTGGCAGACCGTGTCGTCTATGAAGGGGAGTGGCAGGAACCCCCCCCCCCCGTATCCCTCAATCCATGCAATATAAACTATACATTATTCTACTGCTGCTCTACTTTATTTATCACCGGTGGTGAGGGGGGGGGGGGGGCGTCTGGTGTCCCCGCGCGGTGCAGGATTGTTAACGGTGTGCTGAAGCCACGGACGTCACGCCGGTGGCCGCCCGTTAAACGAGCGAGTCCTCTCGCTGGCGTTATGCACGACAATTTTAAAAAAGTTGAAAACTGTAGAATTATAGTGGCGGCACGAACATGGCGGTGGGCTCCTGCCCCCCCCGGACAGTGCAATGTAACCGAGCCCCTCAGTGAACTCCCCGCGCCGCTTCGACTGCACGCACAACCCCCCCCCCCTTCCAAAAAAAAAAAAAAACAAGGGCGGCGTTGCCATCAAATAAAACCTCACCGGTTGACCCCCCCCCCAAGCCCCGTGGCCTGTAAAGTCGTGAAAAAAATTAAAACAATGCCAATAGAGAAGTGCGAAATTGAAGTTATGTTGATTCAAATGAGCACAACTTGCAGCGATTCATTCAAAAGCCGCAGAAAACCGAAATGTAACGTGAAGTGGTCAACGCTCCCATGCGGGGGGGGGGACTCACGCTGGGCTCATGCACACACACAAACACACACACACACACACACACACACACACACACACACACACAGTGTTTTATTAAAAAGCTCCGGTCGCAGAGGCGGCCGGGCGGACCGTTCCCCCCCGGCGCGGAAGCGCTGGGCAGCGGGATGAGCGGATTAACGTGCCGCGGTGGTGCACCTACCTTCCGGTCCACTACACGGGCATCTCAAAGCGGCGGAGCCCGCAGAAGATGCACATGGGCCGACAAACAGTCCCGCTTCTCACGAGTGCAATTCCCTCCGCGCTGGGAGGAATTTCCAAGTGGCTGGACTGTGTGTGAGCAGCGGCACTATGTGTGTAAATTGGGGAGGGGGGAGATAATCCTACGGTGGTGGGGGGGTGAAGAGGAAATACGTCATCATTAATGGACCGAACGTTTTGTAGTCCATCAGTACACCCACGTTGTACACGGAAACTACAAATTGGAGGAGGGGTTTCTTTATTTATATGTATTGGTCCCAAACCAAAAGGGACAATGAAAAGAGATTTCCCTGTGAAAGGCATCCAAGCCTCAACACCTGCTCAAATACAAATACAGCCCATTGTTTATTTTACTGTAGGTTGAGGGTGGTGAGAAGCACCCACCTCAAACCCACCGGGATCCACTACATCAATCAGGCTCAGAACATATATAGATACATCTCTATTTACATACAGTACTAGTCAAAAGTGTGGACCGACTTTCTCATTGAATTGAATGAGAAAATGTCTCAAGGCTTCTTGTATACAGTATAAGCTACTGTAACTAGTTTCATTAGTTAAAACTGATTTGTCCGTAGTTATGTTGGCCATGATTGTCTGCTTAACTAGTATAACTAGTATCAAAGTTGGGCACATACATACAGATCAAACAAACGTGAAGAAAATAACTTTAATGGAAAAGTCTGCTCATACTACATATCATTATGCACAATGATTTAATGATTAAATATCCAATTCAACAAGCAAGCACTTTTATGTTACACCTCACAACTGTTTTCACAGACTGCAAATAATTCTTTCTTTTGACTAAACCAATTGTGAGGGAAATAGTCGTAGTGGCCCTTTAAGTGCAAGGACCAAAATTATTTCAGCCATAAAACATAATGCTGGGCCCAGCGATTCCCTGGAAGAAGGACATTTGATATAGATTATTATTTTTGCAGGATTCACATGAGGTGAAGCAGGACAAAAATATAAACTGAGGGATTGGAGGCATTTGCTCCACGTACTATAAATGGATGCCGGGTCCTTGTTGTCGGGGTACAGTTTGCTGACATGTGAACCTAAGGTGGGACAAGGCTTGAGAGGTTGACCTGAGCCGGAGCTGGACAATCTTAGCGAGGTTCCAGACATTCTGGGGGAAGCCCCTTGTTACTGTCACAGCCATTGACACGTCTGTCCTTCTGTCTGCTTCTATAATCTTTACTTCCAGAAGCACTCCATCATCAGGTATGTAACACGTCAGAGTGACAAACAGCTGAAGAGCAGTTTTCAGGCATTAATGCCTACTTGGAAATCTTCTTTGTACTGTGTCGATTGTTCTTGTGAAAAACCAGTCCTGCTTATCACCACCTACTGAAAGCAGGAAGTCATGGTCAGAGGAGAAGTTATTACCTTTGAAATAAGATCTGAAAGACTTTTGTGGTTTCCTTTGAACAAGCACACGTAGGTATGCAAAATCCTTTTCAAGTAAAGCAAACCTTCCAGAACGAGAGAAGAAGACAGATTTTGGGGCGTGTCTAACTTGGCGATTAATCATCAGTGCTACAACTTAATGAGGTGTTTCCGCACTAAAGCCATGAAAGGAACTGCAGCCACAAACACTCAACAGAAACTACCAGGTGGGCTTTTGACTCCTTACAGTGTGTCAGCAAGCATGTGTTGCATGTTTTCACCAATAAACAGTGCAGCCAATTGACACAAGCTGAAATCAGACAAATGCTGCCACCTGGTGACTGAACGCAGGCAGTACAGCTTAAAGAAAAAATAACCACACAGAGGTTTGGTAAAAAGTGGATGTTCACAAAATTTAGGATATTCACACATTACAAAATTAAAATATTATATCGATTTGGACAAAGTATAAAGTATTTTTTCATGTTGTGTTACAATGTTGGAGACAAATTTCAACATCACTCTGTGTGTGATACTGATGTGATGAAATAGCAAAGTGGTTGTATTTGGGACAGTTCACAGGAATGGCTTCTTTAATTATCAGTCTCTCAGTCATCACATTAATGTGTAACAGTTTCAATGAAAATTACTTTACACTCACCAACAAGGTGAATTTCATTTTTTAGAACTTGGGGGAATGGGGGGGCTGTTTTGAGCCCCTTTTGACAACTGATTTAAGCTAAAGAAGATGCTCTTGCTAAAAAGACCATGGCTAGTAGAGTGTTCAAGATCAAACCGACTTCCAAATTGCTCAGTGAAATAAAAAGGAAAAATATATCTGAATACATTTTAATTTGAAGTCCAATAATACTGCATTATTTCTTGAACATATTGTCATCAGTACATTCAGTCGAAGCATCTGCTGAGGAGATTAATCAGCACAAACATCGTCATCAGAAGAAAACCATTTGCAAAAATACCAAAAAGAAAACACATGGACCTCCTACTCCTCTACCTCTCCTTCCCCTTCTGTGGGTTTAGGTTTGGGCTCGCGTATATCAGATTCCATGCCTGGCAAACTGGTTCTCCTACGCGCAGCCATCTCAATCTTCTGCACTAACTCCACATCCCACGGGTGAGTGACGAAGGTGAGAACCTCCCCATCCTCTCGCCCTCCCGCCCTCCCCACTCTCCCTGCTCTGTGGATGTAGTCTGTGTGGGATTCTGGGGAGTCGTAGTTGACGACCAAGCGCACTCTGGACGTGTCCAGGCCGCGGGAGGCAATGTCCGTGCATATCAACACATCCATCTGTCCGGCCTTCTGAAACGTTCGGAAGATTCCTGCGCGCAGAGCGGCCGGCATCTCCCCCTGCAGTCGTGCGTGGCGCATTCCCATCTCTTCCAGCGAGTACCCCAGCCAGTTGACGGTGGCGGACTTGTTGCAGAAAACCAGAGCGGCACCACCGCCTTCTTTCTGTTGGAGCATCTTCAGGGCTTGGTGGAGCTCCAGGATCTTGTCTGTGCCCTTTACCTTCATGAACGTCTGTTTGACATGTGGCATGAGGAAGTGCAGCATCTTGCTCTTGATAACCACCACGCTGCCGAGGTCCGTCACCTTGCTGAGCACTTCCCCGACACCCCCGGGGAAGGTGGCGCCCACCACCAGCAGCTGGGCTTTGTGGCCAGGACCTCGTGTCTCTTTGGGATCCCTAGCAATGTTCGTGCTGAGGAGGATATTCTCCAGCATGTCAGAAAAGCTGGGGTCGAACAAGGTGTCAGCCTCATCTACCACAAAGAAGCTGAGCTCGCTCAAGTCCACGCAGCGTCTCCGCAGAGCCTTGATCAGGGCCCCCGGCGTGGCCACCAGAATATCCGGATGATCCCTCTTAAAGACGCTCTTGATGTGACCGACACCCCGCCCTCCGCCCACAATGCTCGTCGTCAAGCCCAGCGGGGCGCACAACCTCCTGGACACGGCGGCCACTTGCTCGGACAGCTCCCTGGAAGGCACGAGAACCACAGCGCGAATCCCGTGGGCGCTCTCAGCATCCACCTCGGATTCAGCCTGCAGTCTGTGGACGATGGGCAGGAGGTAACTCAGGGTTTTTCCACTGCCCGTCTCCGCGGCACAGAGGACGTTGTGACCTTTCATGACCTTTGGGATGGTCTGCAGCTGTACAGTGGTGGGGTGGGTAATGTTCACATGGTCCAAAGCTTCCACCAGCGCATTGCTGATGCGGAGGTTATTAAAAGTCACGGGGGCTTTCTGCTGGACGTCTTCATTCTGATTTTCAGCAACAAAGGGCGCGACCGCCTTGATGTTGTTGATGGTAAAGTGGTCACCGAAAGATTTGTTGTGCTTCCATCCTTTAGAGCAGAGAATAAGAGGCTCGAACTTACCGAGTGTGAATCCCGCAGATTGGTTCAGATCAGAGTTTTTGCTCTGGATCAAGAGCTTGCCAGCTTTGATGGTGTTGATTTTGATTTGGCCCCGAGCCTGTTTGACGTGTTCAACGCGCCTCTGCATGTAGCGAGGGACACGAATGACCGTCTCCTCCGGCGAGGCGGCTTTCTGACTAACAGAACGATGCACAGGACAGCAAGCGGACACTTTTATAAAATCCCGACAGTGAATTCCACCTGAGCAGAGAGCTCGTGATGCAGCCGAAGCAAAATAGCCGACCTTCACAGAGTGCATGTTGTGGTTTAATCCGCTTGTCAACAGTCAGCTGACAAGAATAAACAAGAGAATAAACGAGTAAAGGGTGAACAATAGCGCGTCGGGGGAGTAGGAATAGGAATCTTAAGTCACTTTACACGTTCATAGAAAAAACCCTGTAAATCTGTTAGCATCCCGTACAAGTTGACATCGTTATCGCCATGCTTTCTTGGCGAATGTTGATGACGTCAGGCAGGCGGAGAGTGATGACGTTTATATAAAAGCATATGTTTTCTTTTTTTACTCAAAATTGGCACAACATTTTAAAAAAAGGTGAATGAAAAAATACAAACAAAAATCGATAAAAGTAAAAAGCTGAATAGTTAATTAATTATTATTATTATATAAACAATTAAACACACCTAGTACAACAAAAATGTTACATTTCAATGGCCTTTTTGTTTAACTATATTCACATGGTTAATGATAGAGATAGTATTTTACATTGAGTTCTCTAGGTAAATTAAGTACCCCTCCTGTAACCTTTAAATATGCTAATGTATTTACCCTTGGGGTCAATTTTACCCAAGCAATTTAAAACTCCGGAAAATTAACATAATTCAAATTGTTCCCCAAGTGTATTATTGGAACTTTGTGCTGGTTTGTTGACTACCTAAATAGCAAATTAATTTAAAAAAACACCCACCTCCTTAAATATCCGGGATATCTATTGAGCCACTAGACAGATCAGCATAAAATCTCCCTGATTGAAATTTGATTAAAAGTCTACAGACATGGTGGCAGGAAATGTTTCCCTTCTCGTGTCAGCAGCCCAAAGGCTTGCTGTTGCTTTGCCTTTGGACTTGTAGCCTCCTGCCAAAATGAGCAATCCAATGGCTTGCAGGTGGGTCACATCCAAGTCCTTCTGCCCTCTAGATTTGTCATCTTAAGTATATTCTTTTCAATTAATACATAATGCTGATTTTATGTCATGGAGATGGCTCCTCATTAAATGAGGGAAAGTAATTAAATATGACACAAAAACGATTTATTCAGAGATGTTAAAACTGGGAATGGGGTCAACTTGACCCTAAAAATAAGTAAAAAAAGTAGAATTTATATTGTGACATTAGACATTATTGAATAGAAATATATGAAAGATAAAGCATGGTTCGATTGGGATGTGGAAGAATGTCTGCCTTATGTTACAAAATGATTTTATGGCCTATATCTTCCTTGATGAAAATATTTGTGCAAGTTGACCTCCTCAGTAGTTGCTTGAACTGAATATACTGATGACAATGTGTTCAATGAACCGATGCACTTTTCCTGTTAAAAATGCTTTGACATCAAAGTCAAATCAATACACATATTTTCCTCTCCTTTATTTATTAGTCGAGTGGTTAAAAAAAAGGACTTGCCTTTAGTTGTCTGAATGTTTTAAGTATTCTCTGTTGGCTCACACATTTTAACCTCCAAACATGCATTAATAACTATAGAAACAGCTGTCCACATCAACGCTGCTGTCACATGTGGCATTGATCGTACATCAGCTACCCTTCCCATGTCCTGAATGAATTGGCTCACTGATTGATTTGCATTAGCTTTAGAACATCACACACACTATCAGTAATTGAATCTTTGTCACATGTTGGACAAACCAGTACTGTGGAACCGTCGTGAACTGGAGGAGGTCTTCTTCTGAACGAAAGATAGAGCTAAACTGGGTATTGTTCGTATCCATAGAGAATACAGAGTACAACGTGTAACTGTTTTTAACGTCAGGACACGGGAATTGCAACTGGCTGATGGTAGGTCCGTCGCATCATATTAAATAAAGAACTCAGTTTTACATACTGAACAAAAGAGGGCGACATTAATCAACTCGGAAGATTTCACGTCACCTGAAATCCTGAACAGAACTAAACTGGCTTTAAAATATTTTTTGCATGGTATCAACATAAATAAAACACATTATTTTTCTAAGAATTAATCTAAGAAATATATTCATCATATCTTCCACTAATCCACTCCTGCATCATCAGAATATACTCTATATGAATATATGTCAATCCCAGATCAATTGGAAATGCAAAGACTTTGCATAACAAATAACAGACATCATTTTAAAATTAGAATATAATATCTTGTGTTCCAATCAGTGTAATAGCCTAAGTGAGCCTTCAATTTATTTTCAGTTGTCATTCTGGTACAGAACTGCGTGCAATTTGTTGACATTTTGTGAACACCGTGAGAGTTGTTGCATTTCTGCAGCATCGGCAAAGCCCAATCCTTGAAAGATTGACACCTCTCGAACGGGACCAGTGTGGGGGCAGATGCTGCTTTTTTCCCCTTCATAACTTTCTCTACGAGAACACAATATCACAAACCACATCTTCAGCCTCCCACACAATTTGTTTTCTTTATCTTCTCCCTTCAAAGGTCATCCGCGAAGATAAAACACGCGGTGCCCTGAATTAGCATGGTTACTGCAGTGGAGAAAGTGCAGTCAAACCACGTGACTGAGACACAATTTTGTAATCGTCCATTTATGATAACATTTGTTAAGAGTAATTGTGTGACAAATCCTAACGCATACAGTGAATTAAGAATTGTTTAGAGTCATGTGGGTCCATTTAATTGCAAAAGCTGCATCTTTAACATGATGGCACTATGTTTAAGATATTCCCACTGAAAGTTTTGTTTTATTCAAAATGTTCCAACCTCACAGCAGCCGTGGTTATGACAAACAGCCCCCTCCTTCAAAATACAACTGAAAACAGACTGGAAGTTATTGTGGGACATTAGGGACTTATGCAATAATCATGTGTGACAAAATGACATGATGAGTAACTGTTGCTGAGTAACGGTCTTAACGGACTACTTTGAGCAACAGTTACAGTTCTTCCTTTAGGTTTCCTGGCAAGTTACTCGTCGATTCGTTACTTATTTAACAGAAATAACTTTACATCCTTTTTTAAATCACTTTCCTATCCGTGGAAGTGCTGTTAGATTATATGCAGTTTAAAGAGGAAACAAAAAACAACAGCTTTGCTGTGTGTATTTTGAACTAAAGACTCTAACTCTAATATTACCAGCCTTTACAGTACTAGAATAATAGCATATATCTTTTGGGAGAGAATTACATCAGCAGGTGGATAAGCAGATGACAATGGGCCAAACGTTCTGCTTTTGCTTGAAAGTAAAGACCACAGGAAATGTGATATTGACGCTTTCAAATGCCTTTGTGAGCGTAACGCCTTTCCGTACGCCCACATGCATTTAGCATACGTATATGCAATATGGCTGTGTCAGAAAAATAAGAAGCCGTTGTCTGCGGTGCATGCAATGTGTGCCGAGGATTAACTGCTTGCAAAATGTGATCGTGCAGAACTTTTTCAAAATGTAACTTTGGTGCTTTCTGCATTGCATGTCCATGTTACAACGTTCATTTGTTATTCACACAATACATCTATATGTACTATATGTACTGTAAGTTTGTCGTAAAAGCCCTAACATATTATTCTCATTTTATCAATATGTGATCAAATAAATAGTAGCAGTAAAACACATATAAGAACTTACAATGTTATGACTTTGCTTATCAGTGTTGCTATAACCTTTGGTGAAACAATAAAAACTTTCTTCATAGACGTGGATAGTCTTGATCAACTGCAAATGTGTGTGTGTGTGTGTATGTGTTGGTGTGTGTGTGTGTGTGTTTGTGTTTGTGCATGCATATTGCATGGAGGGGGTACGGCAATAAGAATAGGAAAGACACATACTGTACATGCTGAGAAAAGTATAGTTATTTGTCAACGCATTAAAAGAAGTGTGTGTATGTTATACTCTGGACTGATATCTCCAACAGGGTGAAAGCAGATAATAATTGACTAGGCTATAGACCAATACAAGCGTCACTTTAAAGCTTTAGAGCACAACAACCTCTGTATCGCTTCCCCAATAAAGATTAACCTGCGTGGGTTGATGCTTTTGATAGGGCCACCGAGGTTAAAGGGATTGATGTACCACTTTATTTTGGACAGAGATTTACTCCGGCCACCTTTCTCTGGTAAGACGTCATGGAGAAATCCCTCAGAGCAAAAATATACAAAGAAAGTGCATGCCAAACTCTTGGCTGCAATACATCATACATACAAAAAATACAATAAGCTACGTTCAAAAGGTCTATTCTTCCACTCCTACAGAACAGCCCAACTCACAAAACCAAACTGTGCTAAATATCAACAAATGAGCTGACAGGCTGGAAGGTGGAAAGTGCATCATGTCATTAGATTTACCAATCCTGGTAGCTTGGAGAGCCTGGTGCAATCGCATGCAGTCTGATGGGTGGTTGGATGAAAATAGAGGGCCAATTAAATAGAGAAAAGTGGCTTTAAAACCTACTGGTTGCAAGGTCAAAAGGTTTGCTATGCATTTTAAATGTTAGTACACACTAGTACACAACGTTACCAAAAACCCTTATTTACAAAGTGATAATACATTATACAGTCTTTAATATATGAAATGTATATATGTAATATTATTTACATCTTTTAAAAAAAATGAATTTTAGGTTACAAAAAATCCATAGCCTATTGCATCTGTATTTGTTTGCTTCACGCTGATGTCTTGTCGAACTTGTCTTTCATAAACCGTTCGTTAACTCAATAGCTTAGTAACCGTGTGTGTGTGTGTGCACGCGTGTGCCCGCCCGTGTTGTGTTGTGTCTGCTGACGTCATCGCTGGAACAGCCTTGTCACGCGGGGTTAGTAAAAGTTGGGATAGGAGCTCCAGAGAGAGCGGAAAAGACAGGCGGAGAGAGACGGAGACAGAGACCAAAGTGGGACAACTAAACGGACAATTCATCGGCTTCACACTGGACATTAAACTCCGGCAGCGAAAGCGCTTCTGTGCTGTTTACACGTCCGGCTGACAGAGAGGCTCGGCGAGAGACGGAGGGACGCAGGGGGGGGAGGAGGAGGAGAGGCGGCAGGCGACTTTCTCTCAAGTTGAAGCCACGATTTCGCCCGTCAAACTGCCGCAGGACGAGGGGCGAACGACTCGGGTGCTTCGGACACCGTCAAACCGCGTGTTTGACCGCGCGTTCGGGTCCGAATAGATAAAAGTTTGAAGTCCGACGTCGCTGCAGTCGGTAAATGCTGTGACATTACCGGAGAGCGTAAGTTGCCCCAGCGGTCGACGGTCGAGTCGGCGGGTTTTAGACCCGAGCTGTCAAACCCGATGACGACCGCCAACTGCCCCGGGAACGAGGAGCTGGACTTCCGACTGATCTTCGGAGAGGACGGACAGCAGCAGCCGTTAGGCCCCGCAGGTCAGTGGCTTTCCCCGCGCGCCGCAGGTAAACCCCGAAGTTCACGTTACTCACCTCACCAAAACCGTGCTAATATTACTGCTTTTATCTTCGAAACCGTGAACTGCGCGCGCGTGTGTGTGTGTGTGTGTGTGTGTGTCATCTTCCTGTAAAAGAGGAACCGAGGTTAATAAGCAGGTTTTGGTCTTCTGGTTTTGGAGAAACGGAGAAGTTAAACTATCCAGCTTTGTATCGTGGTCGCCCAGCTACTGTCCGCGACGCCAGCTGTCACTAGCTCGACATGCTAGCAGGTTAGCACCAGTGCGGCTAATGCCAGATGACTGTGAAGTCAGTTAAAAGTTGTAAAAGTGTCGTCTGTAAACGTGGACGCCGAGGAGACGCGTGGCGGGACTGCGACCGTTACAATCAGCTATGCTAATGCCTTCAACAGCTGTACTAACTAACTTAGTTCACAAGATAAGCAATGTTTTAATAAACCTGCTGTGTTCATTTACTGTGAGCATAGTTTTTCCAGTAGATATTTGTAGGTGGAACGTTACTTTATAGTAACTTTGGATTTTTGCCAAAAGTAAATGTTGTTTATGTTGCTAATTATGTTAACAATAACAACTGATTTTCCTATGCTGTGTTTTAGTATTTTAAATTACAGTTTTATGAGCCTAATTTCATTGAGTTTTACTTCTACGGGGTAAGGAAAAGGGAAAAAATATATAAATATCCCAAGAATAATCTTGTAAATAGAATTCAGACATATATATTTGTCTTAATTCTATATATATATATATATATATATATATATATATAATTTTGTACATTTCTGTAAATGTATTCTTGTGGGTGGCATATTAAAACAAATCCCAACACCAACACAATACTTTAAGGTGCAGAACCCGTCAAACGTGTGGACACATTTTGTCATCCAATTTTAATGAGAAAGTGTGTCCAAACATTTGACGGCTACTGTACGTTTCCAGAGGATGGTGGTGAAATGGATCTGGCTTCTACGTTGGCGAGTTCCCTCTACGGCCAATACTTGATTCCCTAATAGGTGTGATATATCTGAGAATACATATATACAAGTTTGTGGGGAGCCGGGGGCGTTGCTGCCTGTCCGCTGGTGCTCTCTGCACCAGAGATGAGTATTCCTTTGCATAAGGGATAGACGTCTACATGCAAACAGCCAACTTCTTGTTAAGTTGATGACAAAGCCGAGTGACACAGTATTTTAATATTTCACTTACTCAAAGTGTATTATAGATGTAGCAGTGATGGAACAAGCAAATATAAATATGACAACTTGTCAAACTGCTATTTCTTCCAGTTAGCAAACACAAAAAAAACATTTTTGTTTTAAAGAAAAAAAAATGCCTTAAGTGGTTGGTTTAAGTATGTGACACTGTAGAGCAATAATGTTATTGTTGGACATACAAATGGTTAAATTCCATTAAAATTAGTTACTTCTTGGGATCCATTATGTATTGGTAATTCAACCAAAAATTGCTTAAAATCATATGATGGGGGCATTTATTGTATTTGATGTGAATGAAGTTACTCTTTTGAACAGCTTCATAAGTATGAGTGTTCATTCAGGCCATACTTGCGGTTCTTGTTGAAGCCCAACGTCCGTAAAGAAATGGTCGAGTTGATGTGAATCATGGTTGACATGGGGCAGGTTTCCCCCTTGGTCCCTCGATGCGTCAGAATGACTACTGAACGATAATTTATGCTTGTTTCTTTAACCATGACATGCACTTGAAAAAGACTGTTCACCAATAGAGTTTTTTTCTGATGTCTGCACGTAGCATCACAATGGCAAAACAAACCGTCCTCGGTGGCACCACACTGGGGTGGCAAATAAAACATTTTGGAAGTAGCTGAGGTAACCATGTGGTTGTTGCTCCTTTTTCACGTGTGGGTTGTCCCATCACCTTTATAGTAATACTTACATACTTCGACAGTACGTTGTACAAAGGCTGAAGGATAAACAAAGCTCATGAGCTAACTACAGCCCACTAATTCATTGATTACAGATATTTGCATATATTCTAAATGTAGCTTCTTTCTTGATTTTTGTCTTTGGCTCATGACCATCGGAACAAGAGAATTCTTAAGCTCAGTGTTGTTGTTGTTTTTAATGAAACTCTGAGTAATGACTCCGTGATGGTTCGACATGTGCAATCTTTAATACATTTTTCCTTCTTTCTAAAGAGAAGTTTGACTTGGAGATGGGACAAGGGGGAAAAATGTGCTGTTGGAATAATTGTCGGAATATAAGATTCACTGTGCAGGTGGTTTTAATCTGGTCCGGACTGTGAATCGGCCCAAGAGGAGGCCGTTCGTCCAAATGAATTACGTTAGCAAAATACAGGATCACACAGCCAGAGTAAAAGGAAGATTCACTCTCCTTCTCTGGAGGCAAGGATCAAGTCGAGGCAAGGATCAAGTCGGGGCTTGTTTTTGTAATAACCTGCATAATTTCTGCTGCGAACGTCCACTCAGTTCAAGCAGCATTCACCAACAGGAACCTAACAGGAACACGAGCTCAGTGCAACAGTTCTTAATGTCCTTTTAGCAGAATATTACAAAATGTGTCTGTTTATGCTACCGGTTGCTTATGTTTATGACAAACGTCCTCTAGGGCTGCAACAACGAATCGATAAAATCGATTATTAAAAGCGTTGGCAACGAATTTCATTATCGATGCGTGTGAGTCACATGACGCAGGGAGAGACGTCTGTTCGACTAGTCGTCTAAGGTGTGCGAGCGTGGGGGGTTCCGGTCCACGTTGTCCCGTTTTGACGTGAGGGACGTAACAAGCCTCCTGTTTACTCGTCATCCATCTGATTAAGCTAGCGTTAGCTCGCTAATACCAGCAGTAAAGCAGTTAGCAAGACTAAGACACGTTTTTATTTACTCGCCTCTTTTGGGCCATTCATTTTTCAATGTGTTGTCTGATATTTTGTGCTTTTGACCCATATCGGTTATTGTTGACAAATATATTTGTGTGTGTTGTACTTTTTAATGCTGTCATATATGGTAGTCCAGTGCGCTTGCGCATATACTGTGGGTTATACGGTAGTTGATGTTATGCCTGTAAAGGGAGACACATGGTGATAAAATCAACTAAGAAGCCTCTAATGCATTTATTTACAAATGCCATTTATAATTAATCTCATAGCACTTGGTTGTTTTTTAGCTGTATGCATTTACTTAACTTGCAGTACAATGATGGTAATAATTTAATGAATATGCTTCAAGTGAACATGGGGGTGTGTTTGTGAGTGTAGTATAGAGAACTAGTTCTGACAAATTTGAGGTTCTGTTTTAGAATAAAGGGTTGGAAATTAAAGCTTTTTAATGCTGTTTAAAAAAAAATCTGATTCATCGATTAATCGATTATTAAAATAATCGTTAGTTGCAGCCCTAATGTCCTCTACGTCTTTGTTTTAGGTATCTTATTATTTAATGGACCTGAGCGGAGTAGTGGACACTCACTTACTCTCTGCCCAGTCTTTGAGTGTCTCTACATGCTGATGTGAATGGGATTAAAACTGCGTAATGCCCTGTTCTTCTCTTCTTTGTCTGTCCTTTTGAGTGTCTGTGTCTTCCTTTTCTCTCTCTCTCTGTGAAACTGACATCTCTTAGGGGTGAATTATTCCACTGTTCTATTCAGAGCCATTGGGAAAGCTTACTGTCAGGGTTTCCCCCTGATTATGTGAAGTAGCCAAGAAGTGAACTGATTGTCATCCATTTGAATCACTGTGCTGTGCTTTTTTTAGCCCTCGTCTTTTGGCCACAAACAGCCAAAGGACAATTTCCCCCAACTTAACAACTCACGAATGTTTCAGGTTTAAATTGAACGCAAGGCACGGTTCTTTCAGTTTAAGGTCCTTTGAGTCCACCTGCTTCTGTTCATCTGAAGTAATGTCGCCGCATTTAATGTTAATAGTTTTGAAAACTATCAACTCACCCAACTTTATTCTTACTTGCTCCTGTACAAATTGTTTTATTTCCTTATGAAATAACAAAGACTAAAGTTTAACATGAAAATGCCCAGGGGAACTTTTTGAGGCTGTAATGGTTTTCATGCAAGTGCCCGAAAGTTACTGTGCATTTGCAACTCGGCTCGGGGCGCACAGGGTAGATGTGCCCTTCATGGGGGGCAGAGTAGTAGTAGAAGTGTAGGTCTCTGGCTTTGAGCCCAGACAAGCCATGTGGGGTTCAGACGGCTGGGTGGAACCAAAGCAGAGGGGACCTTTCTGTTGGCTTTTTCTACGTAATCCACATATTTACTTTTTCCTTTTTTTCGTCACGTTTGTTGTCACGTGCGTTTTTTTTGGTTGCCCGCCATACCGGCACAGAACATAGTAAACTCACCATCAGGAGGACCAGGGCTTCTTTCTTGTCTCAATGCCTTCTCAGGATGTGAAAGAGACCACCAGTGACATCAGAGAGACTGATCTAGCCTAATGAAATCTCCAGATGTCACCACAGCCACTTAGTGACTAGTCGAGTTTGACTTTTTTCTTTTAACGTGCCGGGACATTTTTTGTACCTGTGCGATCGCATTGGTCTTTGTCGTGTTTGGAAATAAAGACGTGACATGGGATATTTTTAACGAAAGGATCAAACTGAGAGCAGCTAGCGGAGAAGGACAGAAAGACATTATGCCCTTGTCGGTGTTGTTGTCACTGCTCCGCTTCTCTGGACAAGAGCGCGGTCCTCTCAGTCCTTGTCGTGGGAAAGACTGAAATTACATCGCTCTCATGATGGACTATTTTGAGCTCCCAGAGAGAGTGGCAGAGGGCAGGCGGCAGGTTCTAGTGACTCGTTTGTACTTCGATCAGGAGAACCCCTCACGTCCCAGCACGTCTGCTTTCCACTGCTCGGCACTTTGAGATCTCTCCTCGAGGAGACGAGCAGAAGAATGCTGTGCGCTACATCAACAGGTGAGTGTGTTGGCACTCCCGGACTCTGGCCAGGTGTGTGTGTGTGTGTGTGTGTGTGTTTGGACTTTTATGTTGGGC